GTTTTAAGGAGGATTTTGAAGGAGAATGTTAACATAGCTTTGTGGAAGCTCTTTTTAGCAGCAAGGACACCACAAAACAAAGCAGAAAACTCTTTGTTGATAATTTGCACCATGGAAGTGTAGCATTTGGCTCACAGAAGATCTGAAGTAGGGCAAATGTGGATTAGCCTACAAGTCTAGATGGGGACACCTAACATTAGATGAGGATAGAGAATAAGACTCACAAAAGAAATCAACAGGAAAGAAATAATAATATGAATTTAAAGGGCAGCACAAAATTATCAGATTGCAAGTGAAAAAACAGAGAATCTTGTTCCTGGCAGATCCCATCTTACTCCAGAGCCTAAAAATGACAGCTCCACCTCATATCAGTACCACCATTTTCCATACTGTTTTACGTGCCCAGGCAGACGCAAATTTGCTTTGCTCATAGCCTCCACGAGCCAGATGAAAACCTACTCTGAACTGAAAATCAAGGTTTATTAGTTTACTCAATCACTCTGCCAAGGGTGGCTGCATTTCTGGCTAAGCTGACAGTCAAGTGAGGAATGCTGGTATCCATTTAGAGGATGAAGGAGGTGGAATTATGCTTCTTCTGAAAAGACCTTCTAGATATGTCATAAAAGTCTTGATTATCTAATGTCCAGGCTTTGTATTTGGTATTTGATTTGCCTTGCAAAATAGCTGACCAGTACCTAATCAAATCATATATATTATATATATAATAATATATATCATATATATTTAATAATATATATCATATATATTTTTATTATATATATTATTTATATATATACCAATCAAAATCATATATATTATTTCTCCCCCTCTGATGGCATGTAATAACAATGTAATTATCACCACTTGTCAGAAAGGTTCAGGGTTTGACTTAAAGGTAAGGAAGTTGGATCACTGCAGGTGAATCATTACCACTTCTTAGTAAGGGACTTCCTTAATTCCCTATGGGTTTCTCAGTTTGATACAAATGTAGGAGAGGAACCATCTGCCAAAAGGTAACTAGGCGTTTCCATAGAATATAGCGTATGTCCTACTTGACAACTGAAAAAGAGTTTAGTTTTCCTTTTCAGAACACTTATACACTTTGTACCTGTTTCTCTCTTTCACCCTTCTTCATTTATTTCCTCAAGCTACTTACTTTGACAACCTGGAAAATGTTATTTTGAGTTCTCAGAGGTCACTGCAAGGGGAATGGAAGAAACTTTGGGCAACTTGAGAATATTACCCAGTGAAAGACCATCCAGGTGTTGGAAGCAGAGCAGAAGATGCTTTGACTCCTAAGCATTGTGCTACAGCAGCAGGTGTTGCCATGAAGCCAATAACAAGTGAAGACCAGGTTAGATGACGCTGTAGAGGCTTATGGAGAGAAGATGAGATGAGTATGTGCAGAGTTGTAAAGGAAATAACCACATTAACCTATAAAGGTGACAAACAAGTAATTAGACTGCTTAGAATGTTTAATCAGTTCTGTTCTTTAAAAAAACCCCACCAAACAAACTCTATCAAACAATACAAGTTTCAGATTTAAAAATATCTGCACACAGAAACACACAATCAAAGACAGCATGTGAAAGTGCAGAGTTTATGAGGGTACAGAGTTTTCACAGGATTTGTCAGCTGACAATTAGATTTGTCAGATGTGGGAGAATAAAGATGCCTGGTCAACAGCACAAAGTTAATGTGTATTCTTTTTCAAACATTGAGTAGGTAATTTAGTATAATTACAAAGTACATATTTGGTAGAAATATCAATAGAATTGACTTACAGCAGAAAACACGAAGCAAAATTTAAAGAAATGTATAATTTATGATTGTCACTGCCACTGAAATCGTTATTTACATTGGCACTTATAATTTTACTTAATTCTAATATAAAGCAAAGACTACATATGGTTAATGCTAGGCATTCATGATACTGCTAATATTTAACAGCCCTCAAAAACCCAAATGTTTAACTAATTTCCAATTTTGCTTGCTTTTCTTGGAAACGCTATTAGATGTTAGTGAAAACAAAAACATAATCCATTAACTCACACTATGGTACTCTGACTAATTGAGGGAACATAAAAAATTGTCTGCGCTTTTTGCATCTAGCTCCACTTGTATCTTAAAGCAATGGAATTGACTGTACTCCAGAGGGTCATGGATGTTAAGAAGTACTTTCTCATTTTTTCTCTATTGAAACTTTTAGTCAGAAAACTTTTACAGAACTGAAGATTTTACAATTTTAGTTAGGAAAATCTGTGTTCTGAAAGGAAAAGCACATGCTTTGTTACTGTGATTGTTCTTTGAATAATAAATCTGGAATCCTTGAATTCTTTAAAATGGCAAATTTGAATATTTAAGAGCCTGAAGGAGTCTATTACTGCCTTGCTATGCAAACGAAGGTCCTGTAAACATGAGCTTAGGTTGTGCATGTTTCAAATGAGAACAGATTCTTCTTGTATTTGGAGTAGTTAAGACAATTACATACACCATCTTGCATCAATACTAATAGGAGAAATGTATGAAATGTGTAAATTGAAATTCGCAGGTGAATCTGCAGAAATCATATGAGTTCAAAGGTGCAATTTGTGTGAACAGCTTGTTCTTGATGCTAAACCAAGAGTTGGAAATCCCTCCCACAGACTCCTACTAAGGAAGGTGGATCACTTTAATCTATATTCTCTATTCCTACACACTAGACTACTTCCATCATCTTTTCTAGCATTTCAAAGTTGACATCAATCATTCTTGATAAAAGATGCTCGCTGGATTCTTACATGTGCCTCATTTTCCACCCTTTTCCTCCCTCTGCTCCTTATCTCCCTTTCACAGTGCAAGGCTGGAGCGAGCGCTTCTAAGAGAAGTGAATTTATCTTGAGTTAGGCCCTTCTGCTATAAAGGGATGTTAAACCTTGCTGTAAGGCTTACCAATGGGCACTACACTCCACTGTTAGAGGGTGTCAATCTCTTTACACTAACTGCAACACTGCTTTTTTTACACACATAGTTCCCTACTCTGACATCCAGGGTCAAATTTTAGTCTACATTTTCCTAGGTTTAATTTCCCATTGGCACCTTGCTTAATTGCTCCTTCACCAGGCCAGCTGAAGAAGGAGGCACGGTGTCTGCACAACCCGTTTGGTGAATGTAGCCCCTACATGTGAGTCCTGTGCAGAGAGTGATAAACTGGAGTTTACCGCTTTGGAAACTTTGGAAACTTTTTGGCTCACAAGGGAGACGAAGCACCTCAAGAGCTGCACAGAGGAGGGAAGAACAGATATCCAAAATCCTTCCAAACTTTGAAGAAAAAAACAGCCCACAGCACACCCATGGGTGAGAGGGATAGGTGAAAAAGTCATATACAAAGTACTGTGTAAAAGACCTTTAGGTTTTTCCTATAATAATGCAGTACGTTACTGACCAATAAACTGTGCTCTGTCGTCTTCTCTAAGGACCAGACCCTAATCTGTGACATGAATCTGTACATTATGAAAAGAAGTTTGATAGGCAGCCCGGACTTGTGGGCTGTTTTGTCTGCTATGATGATGTTTCTGGCTTTTTTTCTGAACTGTTAAAAAAGAGATGATCTTGCAGTAACAGCACGTCCAATAAAACTCATTACACAAAGCTATGTTCCATGAATTATTATTTAAATGCCAAACAATGAGTTTGACCTCAAAGTTAAAAAAAAACAAACACTTTGAAGAACAGTTTTTATCAGAATTAAAATGCTACATGTTCTCAGTGGTAAATCTATCTCATTATCTAGTCAATATAAGTTAAGAATAAATACTTTTGTTGAGTACTGAAATTTATAAACCAAAGACTCATGAAAGAAAATTTCAGGCTCTAATTAATAAATATAATGAAATGTGAAAGCTAAACTGTGTTATCAGGTTGTACTTTTTGCTGGATAAAAACTATCTGGACGTCCAGGCCCAGAGATGGTGGGGAATGTAGTTACATCCAGCTGGTGTCTGGCCACTGGTGGTATTCCCCAGGGCTCGGTCTTGGAGCCAGTCCTGTTTAATATCTTTATCAACAACATGGACAAGGAGACTGAGGGTGCCCCCACTCATTTTGCAGACAACACCAAGTTGGGCAGGAGTGTTGATCTTTGGAGGGTAGGAAGGCTTTGATGAAGGATCTGAACAGGCTGGATCAATGGGCCAAGTCCAATTGTATGAGGTTCAACAAGGCCAAGTGCTGAGTCCTGCACTTGGATGACAACAGACTCAAGCAGTGTTCCAGATTTGGGGAAGAGTGGCTCAAAAGCTGCCTGGTAAAATAGGACCCAGGAGGGCTGGTCAACAGATAGCTGAACACGAGCCAGCAGTGTGTCCAAGTGGCCAAGAAGGCCAATGGCATCCTGACCTGTATCAGAAATAGTGTGTCCAGCAGGAACAGGGCAGTGATTGACTCCCTGTGCTGGGCACTGCTGAGGCTGCACCTCGAATCCTATGCCCAATCTGGGTCCCTCACTACAAGAAAAACACTGAGGTGTTGGAGGTTATTTTAGGGAAGGGCAACGAAGCTAGTGAAGGGTCTGGCGCACAAGTCTGATGAGGAGCAGCTGAAGTAGTTGCAAGTGTTTAGCCTGGAGAAAAAGAGGCTCAAGAGGGATCTTATGTCTCTCTACCCCTCCTGAAAGGAAACTGTAGCAAGGTGACAGTTGGTCTCTTCTCACAAATAACAAATGACAGGAGGAGAGGAAATGGCCTCAAGTTGCAGCAGGGGAGGTTTAGTTTGGATAATGACGAAAAATTTCTTCACAGAAAGGTGAATTGCCAAGCATTGGAACAGGCTGTTCAGGCAAGAGGTTGTATCAGCATCCCAGGAGGTATTTAAAATCCTATAGATGTGGCACTATGCTGGACTTGGCAGTGCTGATGTAATAGTTGGACTCAATGATCAAAAAGGTCTTTTCCAATTGAAATGATTCTATGATTCTAAGACATCATCTAGCCTAGAACTGAGGAAAGGACAACAAAGCAAGGAATGGTATTGCAAACTTGTTCTCTGTATATCTCTTCTAGTTTCATCATTGACTTCCAGAGTACAAGCCATTCTTACTCTCTCTCTGAGAGTTAACAAATAATTTCTTGATAGTATATCAAATACACTGTCATAAAATCTGTTTCAGTTTTGCTGACCTTCTTGCCAGACTTGAATAGTTCAGTTTATCAACTCTTTCCAATTCCCTTGCATAAAACAGAGTAAGGGTGGTCAAAATATTTTCCACTGTCCTTTTTGTTCTGTTGAGAGAAAAAAATTCTTAAACATTCCCAGTTGTTCAGCTAGACCTATTCACTGATCTCAGGTTTTCTGAAATGCAGAGGCAGTGCAGCACAAAGATTCAAGCAGACATTGTTCTTGTTTCTTTGCTAACCAGCTCTGACAACTCTGGATCAGAATAAACATCAGTCTGATTTGAAGATATACTTTGATTTATATCTTCCAGGTCTGTACCTTGAAAGGTGTAGGGTATTCATATGAAGCCAGAATCTGTGCATTGAAATCAACATCACTGTGTGAAGATAGTGAAACTCAACTTGTAAGTTGTTTTTATTTAAGCTTTGCTGCTTAAGGAGATTGTCATCTGCTGAGTCTTATGACCTACAGCACTCATACTAAGGTGGAATACATAAATTCTCCTGCGATGTTTGCTTGGGTACATAATAAAAGGTTTGCTTTTACCAGTGCAGATACAGTCATAAATATTATGAAGGCTATAACTACAATGTGAACACATGCACAAAACACTTGTGTGTTTCAGAAATTGTTCTGTCTCTCAATAAGATAATTCAATAACTTTTTAAAAAGTTCTATGGAATTTTCTTCTAGCCCCTATTTTGTTTCTTGCTTGTAAAAACAGTAATTTTACCTCTGTGAATGTTCACAATAACAACTGGCTCACACCTGTGGGAACATCAGCTAGTACTGCAAGTCCGTTGCAAGTGAATTGTAACTAATACATACACATAAGAGCCATTCTAGTACTGTTGTTCAAAGACAAGCTATTACAGCATAGGCAAGAGACACACAACAGGGTTATGCAAATGGGAACACAGACAACAAGTTTTGAAATAAGTTGTTTTGGTTTTTTTTCAACTGGTCTGAATAACAACAGCAACATGATGCATCTGCCAAACATAATACATCTCAATACGCAGCAATATAAAAATATAATTTAAATATTTACCTCTTTTTAAGAAATGTATAAGGTAAAATAAAAAAATAAAAGACGCATCTCTTATACCAAAAAACCGCTGAAAATGGAATGCCTCAGTGTATCTCAGTAGACAGATAAATAAAAAAGGCAAATAACATGAGGACAGTTAACCACACTCTCAAAAATTGGATTCCTGTTACAATTTAACTCAGTACTGGTTTCAGGGATGAGACAGAGCTTCTGAAAAGAAAAATCCCATCAAAGTTTAATTTGAAGACAGTGGAAATTAGTCTGGAAGCAGGAAATTAAGAGCCTTACAATCATTTTGCTTAATAGGGGGCAGGGGGAGGGGACAGGTATTTTACCTCGTCATAACAGAATGCATCCAAAAAAGAGCCCAAATGATCAACAGCTGAATGAGAAACCTGGCTGTCTTCTTATGGGAATGAATTTTCAAGTGTGTACCTATATTTTTTTTTAATTTGGGCATTAGTATGTACAGAAAAACCAGAGTTCTCTGTTTTGTCAACCTGCTAAAACTTTTGATTTAGTTTTTGGGTTTCTTTGAGTTATTCTGAACAGGAAAAGCTCATAATAGTCCCTGCTGACAGGCAGATGGAAGTGTTCCTACCTGTACTTGGTGCCAACTCTTGTCCCATTTGGCTGTTAACAATATCACAGTAGTATCACCTGACATCTACTGTTTCCTGTTCACCCCATTCTTGCGCAGTCCAGTAATCACAATGTCTTTTCAGTGACCAAAGACTATGGATACTGAAGATACAGTCCTCAGAAGCACCTTTGTACATCTTACACAACAAGATAAAACTGAGCACCATGACTCCCCCTGGGCTAGCTGAGCAGACTTTTTTTGCCTCCTGGCCCTAAAAAATGCATGGCTTTTAGATGGATTTCCCAAAAGGGACACCTTAAAAGCAGCTTTTCCTGAGCTGGAATTCAGGGCTCTGAAAAAAAACCAAACAAAGTATAACCTAGAAATGTGAGATCTGCCTTTTGGGATTTTGGTGAGTTGCTTGTAAATCACGAAGTTCCAGCTTCCTGACATAGCTGTCCAGTGCCTCATGCAAGAGCCTCCAAACCTGGGCCTGATGCAGGCCAGTGCAGGGTAGAGCCTGGTGTGTGCAATAACCACAAAAGCCTCACAGGAGCCAGTCAATCATTTTCAAATCCTCTTTTATTTGTTTATGGACAGTCTGGTGGTGTGGTCACTAAGGTACAAGCACATGTCTATAATTTAGGTGAGCTCAGGGTAGTCACAGGCTGCTCCCACTGAGATGTTTCATGACTTAAATACCCTCTCAAACACCCACTACCACCATCACTGATGATATCAACACTATTTATTATTGAACTTCCTGCACAAAAGTAGGTCAGGAAATGAGTATGTACTGTTGCCAAGGCTGTGTCTGTCTCATCCTTAATGTCCTTAAGAGCAGAAGATGCCCCAGGGGTAAAATTCTGTCATAACCTAAGATGGCACTGAGTTTCTCTCCTTCCCTGCTCCTTGTTCAGGTTATTGCACTATACCCAAATCATCTAAGGACCCAAAATATCTCCCCTTGTGTAGCAGCACCAGGATTTTGCTGAGGAGTAGCTTTATTGAAGCAACAGGAAAAGAACAAATCTAGCTTCTTTGATATCAGCTCCTGATAGGGTGGGAATGAAAGGGTTATTGCTCTAGATGTAAGGAAAGCAAAGAGGCACAGGACAAGACTGGCCTGCACGGTAGAGCATGAGATGCAAGCTGACTGGATCACAAACTCACTTTAGGAATGAGCAAGTCTGGAGTCTTTCAGCTAATTAAAATTTAAAATACCATGCTACCACCCTGTTGATAGATTGCTTGTCACTAGTTTAACAGCTTTTTGAGACAAACCATAAAACAAATAATAAAAGACCAGCTTCAGAAGCAGTCCTATAGGCAAAGTAATAGGAGAGGAAATAGGAAAAGAAATTTCTTCAGGATGATGACAAAATACGGTATGAAAAAATATGGTGGAAGCATCCACACCCTCACTGTTACTGAGCAGCTTGCATAAAGAGCAAACTATTCAAGGAAGTCAGTAGCTACTTACCTGACAGAAATACTGAGAGACGCAAAGGGGGGGACAGGTAGAAACATTAAATACTTTTGAAGGAAAAATGGACCACGATGCAATTGTTGATTCTACTAATTTACATTATGAGATTGTTTAAGACTTTGAAAGCATATCTCCTCTATAAAAATATAAATACATTATTATAATCTTAACTACTGAATTCTGATTTGTTGACCCTTTTAGAATGACAGGCAGTTCCCAGAGCTGTTAATTATGAATGGATGTGTTGGATTTCTCTCCCCCAGGACACTAACAGATAACACAGATTGGTGTGGTCCTTTACAAAGCAGGTGGATGTGATGGAGCAGATGGAACCTATTTGCTGGTATAAGAGAAACATCGGCATGCGGTTCAATGAGAATGTCAGCAGGTAGGCTTTCAGGGATAGAGCTGGAGTGGTGTAACAAAGTGCCTCCCTTACTCCAGCATGCACAGATGCAGGCATTATCATGCTGTGTGTGATGATTGAACTGAGGAGACAGTACATTAAAGAGGTTAGCCATGTTTGCCCATATGGATTGCAACCTGAGCTAAGCAAGAGAAACAATCAGATAAAGGCAGCTCTGCAAGGAGAGTTGGAAAGACTGAAAGTTGGAAGACTCTCAGGTTTTGTTTAACATTAAAACCAAGAATCTAATATGAAAGAGTTACATTTGCTGCACTAGCAGGTGTAAAAAAGTAATTTACATTGCCATAATTCAGGACATAGGAATTAGAAAACCCCCTAACCGTTTCGTCTATAAGGAAGGAATTTTGTCATTGCATCTGGGGAAGCACTATTTCAAATGCAGAGGCCAAAAGTGAATAGTAATTTATTTTTCCATGGGGAGGCAGCATGTCCATAGCATCTCTAATGTCTTTGCATGCTGCATGTGCAATACAGTTTCATGTCCCAACTTTTCCCAGAACCAGCATGGTAAGTGAGTTTTCTATCTCCTTTTGACTCAGATTTTTATTCTGTCTAAAGAAGAACACAACATCTTTCACATAGTGTGAATCAATAAAGTCGGTGTCCTCCCCACCTTTTTTTTTGTCCTTAGATCATGTTTTATGAACTCATTCCTCACCCTTTGAAAATCATGAAAGATTATAGAAGATACAGAATATGGACAAAACATCTGATAGCTGTTCTACCTACAGACATGGACAGGAACCCATAAAAGCTATATGTTAAAAATGAAAAGAATTTATATATATTTAATTAAAACTTATTTTCTAGCTGCATTTTTAAAAGAACTTTTTACTGTCAGAGGACATTCGACAACAAGTAGCCACACTGAAATTACTGAGGATTCCCGCTGTGTTTCTGCACTATACTGCTCTGATGTTAGCCCTTTATCTCTGTAAATGTGCTTTCCTGATAACACAGTTATTAATGGAAAAGAGGTGAATTGTTAAATATTTAGCTTTCATGTCTTATATTCTCCTGACAGGGATCTGTAAGAGCCATACAGATGCAAAAGTCCTTTGAAATGTGGCTCTTATAAAATCATTTTCTAAACATTTTCAAAAATTAAAAATGGCAAAAAGTAGTTCTATAAACTGTGAAAATGTCAGTAAAGGCTAGGAACTTATTATCATGTATTCATTTATGCTTAAATCAGGAAGATAGAGTGTTATCAGTAAATATAATATTCTCAGTACTCTCTCCTATACCTTTTAATGGAAAAAGATTTCTCAGTTTATCAAACCCTGCAGGCATAAGAGGAAACGACTACTTAACCATGATTATCTTCTTTCCTCCTCTTTTCAAATATGTATTTTGATTTTTAAAAGCTTGATTTTAGAGTGCTTGCCCTATTCTTTTTAACCACTTAGGCACAAGCAGCATTAATGTTTTCCATTCTGACATATCTCTGCCATTGTGTCTCATAGGTGCATTGTTGCAACCAAACCTTATGCTATGGGACAATTTTTCATCAGCCTTTTTTCAAAATAAATTGTTACAGGACCATTGAAGAAACTTCTCCCAACTAACTTTAAAGAGACAGCTCTGTGCAAGGAATTGATTAATCATTAGTAGCTCTGCAATGGTTCTTTCTGCTCCTTTCTGACAAGGGATAGTCCTCAGTGTGTACAATGAAAGTGGAATTGTGGCAGGGAACAGAAAGTCACTTGTCTGCAGCAGGACCACCACGTTCACCATGGAAGTGTCTGCAGCTCCAGACCCACACTCATCTAGGTAGGTGGCAGTACTTCCTTTCCTCTAAATAACCTAAGCCTTTGCCTTTCTGTGAGGAGTGCAAAATGAATGTTGGTGGCTTACAACTAGACCCCATGTAAAAGACTTGCCTGGTGAGTTAATGAGTTAGATTTATACAAATTACTCCAGGGAAAATAAAATCATATGTTTCTGAGCTGTTCCAATCAGCCAAACCAAAACTTTAATGAAGAATTAGCTCCTGGAAGTTCCAGGACTCAGGTTATCAAAGCTTTGTCAACATGACAAATTGCCTGACAAAATTTCTCTTTATTTAAGAACTATTTGTGTCAGTGGGGGAACGAATATATGTAAAGAGGCAGGGGTGGATACTGAAATGTCAGGAACAGACTCTCTACCTGATGGTTATTTCAAAATTGCTTTTGGCCTCTAAGGGCATTCCTGGCCTGCATGGATTTGATGTTTGCACAGATTTTGCTAGCAAGCATAGAAAAAAGTGTGAGAAACAGATAATCCAACACAGACTATCACAGATCAATACTCCACCAAATACAATTTGCTATGGTCAATGTAGTCCAGAGAGGTACAGAGTAACTAGAAGGCAAACATACCCTTGTCAAAGCAGGCACAGAGTTCTCCTGTACAGGATTTACATCATCCTCTATAGCTGGTTTTAGTCCTGAGCAGTCATTCTCACAAATCTTATGTGAGATTTTAAGCTTAAAAATCTTTTAAGCTTAAAACTTAAAAAAAAGGTTACCATAAATGGATATAGAAATGACAGAGCTTCAAAGGCCAAGTGAAGAGTACCCTATCAATCATTCTCAAAAGACAGAACACTTGCTGACCATCTTTTCTCTTCATCTTATTTCTTTTTTTTTTCTTTCCCCCCTGCCAAGAAATAGAAGATCCTGCTTTCATATACATGCCTCCTATTTTCTGATACTTATTGTAATCTCCTTTTATTCAACAAAACCACAACTGGATAATTATATACCAAGCATGGTCTAATACGACTAATGTATTTCCTGCAACAAAAATTATTTACATTTCTTTAAGTTTTTATTTAAAAAACACAAGGAATCAGTATTAGCCTTGCAGGCTGACATTAACCTAATAAACATTAATGTTATTAAGGAATTTCTTAATATCTATTGTAATCCTGGCTGCATGAACAAGACACATTCTTCCTGCATGCCCTTATGCCCTGTCATTACAATCATAACCCACAATACACATCATCCTTCCTTTCTGCATTTACCTGATACTTGTAGCACACTCCAGTACCCCAGTGAGGGAGTCAGTGGATCTCCCTTACCTCTGTCACACAAGGGAAATCACATGTTTTCCTAATGATGTTCTCCATAATGGCCTGTGGCTATGTTGTACCTCATGATTCCTTCCTCTTGTTCTGCTGTTTGGCAGTATTTGCTTGCCTTTTCTCAACCCTTGCAGAGATTTTGTGTGTTTACCACATTCTCACCCTCTGATGTCTGAACTCGTGGTTTTGAACTGGCTTGGTTTTTTTTTGTTTTGCTGGAGGCTCTCAATTTATGCCCATTA